TTCTTCCTCAGGCTAGCAACGTAACTCAGGGCCAAGTAAGTACCGGCCGGCAGGGACGAGGCATTCGGACAAAACAAAATGGGAAGGCACGATGTCTTGGCAGCCCAACCATGGTGGGCAGTACCAAGGCGCCAACAACCTGCACGCCTCTGGGCTACTCTGGGCTACTCTGGGCACCCGCATCATGCCATCAGGACAAGAAGACCCGTCCCTTCCTCCTCATTCTCCCCTCGTGCCCCCTTCTCTCTTCTCCTCTTCCACCTCATCATCGGGCATTACCACCTTCTAATTCCACGAGACGACGCGTAGAAGGGTCAACTCGCTCGCTCTTTGGTTGACTTCCCTTGCTCGTTCCTGCCATTGTCGCCTTTTACCAACAGTCGCTGGCATTTCACTTTGTCCCATCACTCTCTCGGGACCCTTTCTTCTTTTTTTTTCTTCCCCTCTCCGCACATCCCGGCAGTATCACCACGAATCGATAGCAAATAAACTGAAACATGAAGGCCGCTATTCTTTCCGCCCTCGCGGCTGTCACCATCGCCGATGCTGCCTCCAAGACGACCCGGCAGACGCCCGACAGACTCGCTCCCTGCCCGCCATTTCCGTCTCCGGCAATGCCTTCTGGGCCGACGGCGAGCGCTTCTACATCAGGGGCATCGACTACCAGCCCGGTGGTGCGGCCGCTAACGAGGACCCTCTCATCGACACGGAGGTCTGCTCCCGCGACATTGAGCGCTTCCGCCGTCTTGGCGTCAACGCCGTCCGCGTCTACTCCCTCGACAACAATGAGAACCACGACGAGTGCATGGACCTGCTGGCCGACGCCGGCATCTACCTCATGGCTGATGTGAACAGCCCGGACTACTCCATCAACCGCGAGGAGCCACACCCCTCTTACAACGCCGACTACCTCCAATCCGTCTTCGCCACGGTCGAGATGTTCGCCCAGTACGACAACACCATGCTCTTCTTCTCCGGCAACGAGGTTGTCGACAACGAGAACAACACGGATTCTGCTCCCTACGTCAAGGCCACGACCCGCGACATCAAGAACTACCTGCGCGCCCGCGGCCTGCGCCAGGTCCCCGTCGGCTACTCGGCCGCCGATGTCGCCTCCAACCGCAAGCAGACCGCCGACTACTTCAACTGCGGCAGTGACGATGCTCGCAGTGACTTCTTCGCCTTCAACGACTACTCGTGGTGCAACACGGACTTCCTGACGGCTGGCTGGGACCAGAAGGTCCAGAACTTTACCGACTATGGTCTGCCTATCTTGTGAGTGTCGTCATGTCTCACGTGCCTCTTGACCATGCTGGACTGACCTCTCTGTAGCCTCTCTGAGTTTGGTTGCATCACCAACGGCGAGCGCACCTTTGGTGAGATTGAGTCCCTCATGCACAGCAACATGACGTCCGTGTACTCTGGTGGCATGATGTACGAGTACTCCATGGAGGACAACGACTACGGCATTGTCGACATTGAGAGCAACGGCGAAATTGAGGAGCGTGATGAGTTCCAGAACCTCGCCGACGCCTTCAGCCGCTGGCCCGCTCCCAGTGGCAGCGGCAGCCCCGCCCACTCCACCACCCACTCCGTCTCTTGCCCGACGCAAAACTCGCTGTGGGAGGTGGATGGCGATGAGATCCCCACCATGCCGGAGGAGGCCGAGCAGTACATGCAGAACGGCGCCGGCGAGGGTCCCGGCCTCCGTGGCCCCGGGTCCCAGAACGCTCCCGACAGCGGCACCTCGACCGGCGGCATCGCCAGCGGTGCGCCCTCGCCCACGGGCAGCGAGGCTCCTCGTCGCAGCAGCGACAACGGCGGCAGTGAGGACAGCAACAACGACAGCGTCGCCCGCGGTCTCGTTATTGAGAAGGGACATTCTCATGGTGACTGGTGCCGTCGTCGCCTTCACGCTCTTCGGCGCTTTCCTTCTGTAAAGACGTGTATCCTGGAAGAAACCGGGTCAGAGGAGCTTCTTGACTTGTTTTTTCGGGGGGTTGTTTCGAGAGGCTTTTGGGCCCCATCTGGTTTGCTCTACGTGATGGGGTTGATTCGGCGTCGGCCAGCGCTAGATGCTGCTTCGTCGGGGGCCGTGATGACTGGCGTCCGGTTTGCGGGGAGGCTCTCTTGTGAGGGTCAGCTGTATACACATGTACATACCTTTTTGGCACACGCACAGCAACACAGTATAATGGACATGAACTCGATTGTGAGACCTTTTGCTTGTCCGTGTTTACAAGCGTCATAGCGTGATATTAAGCCTCATCACCTCATCACATCATCCGTTTCAGTCTACGTTCCTTCAAGGTAGGAGAAGTGACTAGGTTTCCGAGTCTGCTTACGAGAGAACAACAATCTTGAGTTGCCGCGTGCTACCTCTAGGTCATGCATCTCAATCTCCTTTTCCTTTCCCCTTTGGTGGCCCTTGGTACATGGGTCTGACCTTGGAAGTCCGCATGCGTGTGCTGTACTGTTCCGCCGCCGTTTCATCGGCGCTTGTATCCGACTTTACGTAGCTGGGCTCTTCCTCCTCCTGCTCTTCTCGCACAGTCTGGCCGAGGACGCATTCACGCTCCACGTACGGGTCTGCCGTGGTCCAGCTGTGGTGGCTGTTGGCAGATGTGCTCGCAGCTTGACGCCGCAGATTGTCCAGCTCCATGTCGTTGCTGCCGCCGGAACCGCCGCTGCGATGCAAATGTCCTCGCCGCGTACTCTCTGTCACGCTGCGTTGGCTGGGTGATCGTGACACGAGTTCCCGGACATCACGCACAACGTCAAGCGCTGCTCGACCAGCGCTGACATTGGCGTCAACGAGCTTGTTCCTTCGTCGAATCTCAGTCCAGCGCGTCATGGGGCCCAGTTCGAGGATGTTCACGCGGCGCGTCTTGGCTACCGGATTGCCAATGACGATCGGACGCCACGGCTCGTCTTCGGCCACGGCATCGTCGGTACTGGGTGTGCCTTTCGGCATCGAGGCCCGGCGGTGTAACGATTTGCGACGGACTTCAGTCCAGCGGTCCATCTCAAAAGACTTGCAGGCTGGAATGATTTGAACCTCCTTGAAACGGATGAGTCCAATGAGAAGTAGTAATGTCAAGACGAACAGTATACCTGCCACCACACCTGTCGCGGCTCGCTGCCCGAGGTTTCGCAGAGAGAGGCCGCCAAGAGTTGAGGCTCCTGCTGCAAAGACAAAGGCAAAGGTGTGGCACAGGGCAAGGCCAGCACTGACTCTGGGGAATGAGGAATAGTTTGTCCTCTTCTTGGACGTGGCCGACTCCTCTCGCGGATGTCCAACCATTCCTGGCTGCAGGTCAGATGTGTCAAAAGTTTCCATGATGAACCCATTGCACTCAGAAATGGCCAAGCAGGAGAGAAATCCTATGAGGGCGGCGACGATGGCGGGAACGCTCGGGTGCATCGGGGGCCCCTCCGAGACCATGGTGTAGATGAGGCCAGCCAAAGGGAGACCAATTGCGAAAATGGTACGGCGGAGGAGATGAGATGTCCAGAGGAACTTGTTGTCAAGGGTCATCCTGCTGGTATTCTGCTCACGGTGCCGCGCTCGCGAGAAAAGGTTGGCTTTCTGGAACGGAATCCCTACCAGCGCGCCCAAGGCGATGGCAGCAACCATGAGACCGACGAATGGCGACCGCATCCTGTAGAATCTCGAGGACAGTGATCCCAAAAATAATATGATGAGCACGACTTGAGCATAGATCCAACCGACGTAGACAGCCATAATGGCGAAACCGGGCTGGCAGAGCATCTCGAGCGAAAGGAGTACGCCATGCCAGACCTCCTGTCCCCACCACTTGGGCCCTGTCTTCATCCTGTGCATCATGACCTCCCCTCGTGCAAGACGCCGGGAGATGGCCGTTTCGGTCCGGACTTCTGCAACAGATCGTCGGAATGCGGATCTTCTGACTTCGGGACACACCGTGTTCAGCAAGAGGGTACTGACAATGAGTATGATACTCAGGTAGAAGCCCCATGCAGGCCGAAGACTGTCGATAATCGCAGCACCTAAAAGGAAGCCGATACTGAGGGAACCAATCCAGCACCATGTCCAGATTCCGAGCCAGGCACCGAGTCCTCCTCCGTGTCTCCTGACATCGTGCTCGTCTACGACCTCCTGATGAGGGTTTCCGCTCATCAGAGAAGCGCCGAAGAGGTCTGTCAACATGGAGTGAAAGTTCATGCTCGAGAACCCAAGCGAGATTCCCATCAGACTGCGGGGGATCAGCAACACCAATCTCTAGGCGGATATGTTCTGAAATCTCTGGGCATAGACCGCTAGTGCCTGTGGAAAGAGGAGTCCCAGGGACATGATGAGGCCGCCCAAGATATATGGCTTTCTGCCGTGGAGCAGGGGAAGTGGCCAGCAGAAGAATGTGGGCAAGGCCATCCCTAGAAAACATCCAACATTGCCGTAGACGGTTGCGTGCGTGGTGTCGAGAATGTAGTACTGGATGGAAGGGACGATACCGGCGTAGATGCCCAGAACCACTCCAGTCAGTGCCGTGCTTGTACACGCGACTGTAGCCACAAACTGCTTGCGGGCGGGTGACCAGTCCCGTGCGATGGGTTGTCGTCGATGTGACTTGGGCAGGTTGAAAGCCCGGACGCCAGGCAAACTGACATGAGATTTGTTCCGAAGGCTAATGCCTCGACCGTGGCGCATTCCGCGGCCTGCAGCATCGTCGCCCGGAAGATCTCCGCCGTTGCTGCCCTCTCCTGCCCTTCGGTTCGCCAACCTGGTGCGGATCGAGCCATCTTCCTTGCGCGGCGTACCGTACTGGGTCATGAAATCTATGACATCTGGCCCGTCGGATGACTCTTCGGGTCTGTTGATTCCTGGGCATGTATGGAAGGGCTCGCGTGCGGGTTGTTGACGACGGGTTGCTCGTGGCATGCTTGATGAACGCACAGGGATTCGACGAACCTCGTTTTCGGGCAATACCAAACAAGCCTCATCTGTGCAGGGTACACAGTTCCCGCAATCTGTTTGCGTTGTCGGGGCCAGCATCGGTTTTGGCATTGACGGCTGTGAGTTTTGGTGGCCAACCAGCTCACGTAGGCAGGGATGAGCCGGCA